CGTGCCCTGCTCTGGTGGCTGGGAAGCGCAGGTACGCGCGATTGACGACTTTACCGACGCGGGAGTGAACGATTGTGCCGCGGCAGCCGAAAGGTGCAGGTGGGCCGTGGTGCGCGCGGCTCGCCCTCGGCTCCCCCTCCTGTTGCCGCGGCCGCGCGCAGGGTCGATTCTCTCGACGCTGCGGTCGAGCTGGCGCGGATCGCAGCCGCGGCGGGTACACCAGTGCTGATCAAGGGAGATTTCGTCGGGGCTTATAAGACGTTGCCCGTGCGAGGCACCGACCTCCCGCTGGCCCGCGCGGCATGGGCCAAGGGGGCCAACGGGGACTATTGCTTGCAACTCCTGAGCTGTCCGTTCGGCGCCGCGGGGGGCGGGTGCGCTTGGGGCCGCGTTGGGGCGGCGCTCCAGGCGCGGGGCGCGGCCGCCGCGGCGTCGCAGCGCGCCTCCCGCGCGCGGCAGGCGGTCCTTGCTAAGTTATTATGGCTTGCGTCGGGGCGTTCTGTCGACGACCTGTTCCGGGCCGACGCCGACAGAGGACCCAGCGCGGGCGGCCCCCGCGACACCGCCGAGGTGTTGAGGGCGGTCGTCGAAGATCTTGGGTTGGCGACTCGACGCCGGCAAGCGCGTCGTGGCCGAACCGAAGGCAAATGTGTTCGGAGTCGACGCGGAAGTGCGCGGCTCGGGCGAGGAGCTATCGCTCGTGTTCGCCATCGGCACCGACAAGCGCGACAAGTGGACCCAAGAGATCGAGGGGGCGCTGGCGGCAGGGCGGACGTCGCCGGCGGCCGCCTCCAAACTCGCCGGCAGATTAGGGTGGGGCTCCACCGCGGTGTTCGGCAGAGGCGCGCGTGAGCCCCCGCGCGCAGGCAACGCGCGCGCGCGCGGGCCCGGCGGCAGGTGCCCGGGCATACCTCGCACCGCTGTTCTGGCACGCGCAGCAGCGGGGGGGTGGAAACTGAAGTAGCGGCTCCGCCAGGCTCCGGAATGGCGGTTGCGTTTCCTCCGGAGCGCGCCAGAACGGGCGGCGCCCCTGCGGGGGGGCCCGAGCTGGCCCTGCCACCTCGTGTATTCCGACGCGATGGGGGGCGGCAGGCGGCGAACGCGCGCGCCCGCCGGACCCGGCGCGGGCCCGACCCCGCCCGCGCCTCCACAGCAGGCTGGCGTGGGTCATCATCGGGCCCGGCTGCAAGCAATATGCAGCGGCCGGCGCGCCTTCGCCAATTAGACGGTGGGCGCGGCGCCGCAAGACGCAGGCGGGGGCGCCCCGCCGGCCGCGCGGGATTGGGCACGCGGTCCGTCGTGCGTGGCAGGTCGCAACGTGGGAACTCGTCGCAGCAGCATGCGCGCTGCACCATCTGCTTCCGCCGCTGCGCGACGCTGAAATCGTGGCGTTGGTCGATTCAAAGGCGTAGCCGCGCGCGGTTCGTCGGGGCGCGTGCGCGCTGCCCCGCCGGCCGCGCCAGTGTAGCGCGCTGGTAGCCGACGTTTGTTTCGCGGCGGCTGCCGCGCGGTGCCTTCTAAGCGCATGGCATGGGCCATCCGCGCTCAACGCGGCGGACGCGCCCGCGCGGCCCATGAAGGCGGCCGAAATAGCGGCCGTGGACCGCGAGGGCCTCACCGAGGTGGCGTGGCCATGGCCCCGCGCGGCGCCGTGGGGCTCATGCTAGCGCACGTAACAGTTTACACAGGTGCGCGTGCGGACGGACGCGCGCGCCGTGACCAAAACGTCAGGCAGTCGCGTTGATTCCGCGCGGTACGTTTAGCGACACTACGATGCCGCGCGCGCCCCCCATTAATGGCGATCTTCTTGGACTGTTGCGCGCCGCGGCAAACGCGACGCCGCCGGCGTGCGCCCCAGACCCCCAGCGCACTCGCTCTGGCCATGGAGCAGGGCGGGGTCTAAGGAATCGGTGATTTCGACGGCCTCTCGAGCGATGAATCGGCAATTATCTGGCTGGCCCTGAGGGGCCCGCCGGGGCTTGCAGACCAGGTCGCGGCCTGCGCCCGGGTGCGCAAGAAGAGGAAGCTCGCGGTCAAGACAGCGCGACCCGGTCCAGCCTCCCTCCCCCTCCCCCCCCTCCCCTGCTGCCTCTGCAGGGCGGGGGCGTTCGGGGAGGGGCGCGCGCGCGCGGCCGCGTGTCGTCGCAGGTGCGTTCGGGGAAAGCGGCGGCATACCCGCTCCCCAGCGGGCCAGCGCGGCCCCCTGCGCGTGGCATGCTTGATTATGCAGCTTGTGCGCTACGTGTCCTGGCCGGGGCGAGGCAGCGCGGTGCGCCGCGTCCACCCGGAGTCCTGGCGTCGCGCGTGAGATCCCTGGCCAAGACGAGGGATCCCTCGGCGGGCACTTTGGCCCCCCTGGGCACCCTGGTGGCGAGGGTGCGCTTGCTGGCCGCGGTGCCCCTGGAGGATTCTACCTGGGCTCGCTTCCGGGAACTGGCGATCTGGACCGAGATGGGCCAATGGCACAAGAGCGCGCGGTCTGATGCATCGGCGGTCGAGTTGCGGAGCCTGGCGCGCCGCGCGGCCCGGGAGCCGCCGTGGCCGCCCCAGGGGGGTTCCCTCGATATCATGGTCGTAATCTGCCGCTGCGCTGGGACTCTGGTCCAGCATGTTAGCCGGGTGCGCTCGACTTGGCTTTGATCCGCGGCGACGCGGGGGGCGCTCGCGCTCGCCGGGGGCCTGTCTCGGGGAGCATTGAAGCGGGCGGCGCGCGATGGAGGCAGGTACATGTCTAGGGCTACGGCCGTCCAGGCGCGTTCCCTGGGGCCCCGGCCCGATTCTCCAGCCCGGCGTTCCGGTTGCTCGGAGGTCCGCGATTTGGCCAAGTGGGCCCGCAGCGAAGCCGGGCGCGAGGACATTGCAGGCGGGCCCGCCCGCCCGTTGCGCCGGCGGGGGGGGGGCGACGACGCGCGGGGGGAAGGCGGCGTCGCGCGCCTTCCCCCCGCGCGTCGTCGGCCCCGCAGGAGCGCGAGCCTCCTGCCGAGCAGCCAGCGGCACACCCGTCGCGTTCGCCTTATGTTGGTGCACGCGCCGCCATAGCCGAGGCATTTATATCGCCCATAAAGCGCGCTTTTCAAGGCCGATAAATGCAGAGGCGGCGGCGCGCGGTTCGCAGTGTGAGCGGTTTGCGCGGTCTTGCAGTTTCATTGTTCACGGCCATGGAAGTGGCGCGGGGGGGGCGATGGGCAGGAGCGGCGCGCATCCGCGCGCGGAGAGGCGGGGGGGGCGCGCGCGAGAACGCCCCCCCCGATGGGGTTGCGCCGCATCGGGTCGCGGGGGGCGCGCGAGTGCGCCCCCGCGCGCTGCGTTCTCGCAGGTGTTGGAATGTATTTGTGTCAACCCGCAAGGCGCGCGGAAATGGGCGCGCGTTCGGCTTCCGCTTGCCCGCCCGTGCCCGCCCTGTGCCCTGCCGGGCGTGCTGCGCGCGGTGACTCGCGTGCGCGGCGCTCTCGGCTTCCTTCCTGGGCTCTGTCCTGCCCGTGCCCACCCGCCCGGGGGGAGTGTCTGGCTCGCGCCTTGGGGCGCTCGCCTCGCTCGGTCCCACCCGTGCCCGCCCTCTTGGGGCGTGGGGTGTGGCTCGCGCTTGGGGGCGCTCGTCGGGTCGCGCGGTTTTGGAAATCGCGTGGCGGTGGCGGCGCGACCGCTGGTCGTGCTCGGTCGCGCGGCGGGGCGGCACGGCGTCGGCGCCCGATGCCGCCTTCCCCCCCGCGCGTCGTCGGCCCCGCAGGAGCGCGGGCCTCCTACCGAGCAGCCAGCGGCGTAATTACCCGTCGTGTTCGCCCTATGTTGGTACACGCGCCGCCATAGCCGAGGCATTTATCAGAGGGTCCAGGAGGGTGGGGGTGTCAGAGGAGGTGCAGATGGGGGGTGGGTGCCTGCGTCGTGTTTAGTGGGGTGCAGGGTCTCAAGAACAGTACGCGCAGAGGGCCCAGGAGGGTGATGGAGGGTGGGGGTGCCAGAAGAGGTGCAAAGGGGGTGGGGGGTGCTGGCGTTGTTTTATAGGGCGCAGGGTCCCTAATACAGTACACACAGAGGGTTCAGGAGGGTGGGGGCGTCAGAGGGGGTGCAGAAGGGGGGGGGCGGCGTCGTTTTTTGCAGGGTGCAGGGTTTTTAAATCAGTACACGCAGATTGTCCAGGAAGGTGGGTGTGTCAGAGGGGGTGACGACGGGGTGGGGGGTGCCGGCGCCGTTTTTTGTAGGGTGTACACACAGAGGGTCCAGGAGGGCGGGGGTGTCAGAGGGGGTGGGGGGGGGCTGGCGTCGTTTTTCTTCAAATAGGTTTGCCCCATAGGAGCCCTAGCTCATCAGAAGTACTTGGTCATTGGGACTCCCCCTATTGACGATGGTCCCCCCCCGTTTTTCCAATGGCGCCCCCCTTATCTCCAAGGGCACTTGCTTGCTTGCTCTTGCGTGCTTGCTTTGGCTTGCTTGCTCTTGCTTGCCGTTGCTTGCTTGCACTTTATCGCTGGCTCTTGCTTGCTTGTTATTGCTCGCTTGCGCTTGCTTGCTTCCGCTTGCTTGCTTGCGCTTGCTTGATTTTGCTCCTACCGTCCTCCAGTCCTGCTCCCGTCCTCCTTTCGTCCTCCTCCCATCTCCCTCTCGTCCTCCTGCTGTCCTCCTATCTACTTGGAGTCAACGCAAGCTGATATTTGTAGGTTTGGGGGGAGTTGGCGATCAGTAAGGTTTAGTTCACGAGGGGCCATCTCACACGCCTCTGGGGTCGGCGGATTTGCCCTCGTGCGCCCTTGCTGGCATGGCGCTCTCAAGCCCTTTTTTGTTTGTGTGCGCGTCAACGTTTCGCCCTTGCTGGGGCTCGCCAGGACTCGAACGAAAATGGCAGCGGCATGCGAATACGGCAAGTGCACGATCGACACAATACTGCGTACAATGCAGTGCGGCAAACATGAGCACATGCATACGGCGATCTCTCAACAACACCCCTGGATGGGATGGCTGCTGGTTCTGCCGCTTGAAAGGGGCGGATAGATCGTGCACCCCGCAGCCTTTCTGACTCGAGCGCTCAGGCTGCCGCATCGCCCGGCGCGGGGCTGGTTTCCGGGGCCCCCAGGGCGCCCCGCCCGGCCAGAGGGGGGCACCTCGCAGAGCAGAAGCCATGGGCCGTCGCCCCGCGCGCTGCTACCGGTACTGCAAGGGCAAGCCCTGGCCCAAGTCGCGCTTCGTGCGCGGCGTGCCCGATCCCAAGATGAGGATCTTCGACACCGGCAAGAAGAAGATCCCCTGCGAGGAGTTCGGCTATACGCGTGGGAGTGGCCCGTCGCTGGAGGGACCATTTTGGTGTGGGCCCACAGGATCCCCCCAGCACTGGCTGGCGCGCCTGGGTTGGGCCTCCCAGCGGCCCCCTCAAGCCTCGCATCGGGGGAAAACAAACCTACCTCGCTTTTGACCACCCTCGCTTCCAAGAGATACCAAACCATGCCAAATTGCGGCCTGTACTGGTCAGGGTGCTTGACGAGGAGGCGCGTGGTATGGCTTGGTTTTGCCTGGAAGCGAAAGCGGGGGAGGTAGTTCACGCTCTGATCGCACCAAAATTCACTCTTACATCGGGAAACTCTTGCGTACAACCGAGGAGTTCCCCGTCGCCGCGCACATGGTGTGTGACGAGATGCAGCAGCTCACGTCCGAGTCCCTCGAGGCGGCCCGCATTGCCACGAACAAGTACATGTCCACCAACGCCGGCAAGGACTTCTACCACATCAAGGTTCTCGGGACCCCCCACCGTGTGCGGTGACCACACCGTGTGCGGTGACCACACCGTGTGCGGTGACCACACCGTGTGCGGTGGCCACACTGTGTGGTGGGTCAGTGGGGAATCGGGGTGAGCGCAGGGTTTCGTGACTCGGGTCGCTCTCCGGGGGTGCCTCGGGCAGCCTGGGGCCTCCAGGCCCCCAAACCGTGCGGTGACTGACCCTTCGGTGAGGTCTTTTTTGGGGATCCCGAGGTCACCGCGCGATCCGCCACCACGCCGATCCGTGACCCCCCGAGGTGCGCCCGCACCCGTTCCACGTCCTCCGCATCAACAAGACTCTCTCGTGCGCGGGCGCCGACCGGCTGTCCACGGGCATGCGCGGCGCGTTCGGGAAGCCCTACGGCACGGCCGCGCGCGTCCGGATCGGCCAGGTGCTCCTGTCCGTGCGCACGAAGGATCAAGGGGAAAAGAAACACACAGACACAATTAATCCTCGATTCCCCCGAAAATATTGGAAAATATGGGAAGTGGGGGGGAAGACAGAAACCCAGAAAATATATGAAAATATGGGGAATCATTTTATTTGTGTGTATTTATTTGTGTGTCCTTGGGCCCCTTGAAAGGAGGAGAAGCTGCCGACCGCGGTCGAGGCGCTGAGGCTCTCCAAGTTCAAGTTCGCCGGCCGGCAGAAGATCCACGTCTCGAGCTGCTACGGCTGCGCTCGCGGGCCAACGTTGGGGGGAGATGGGCTTCGGGGGGGGGGACGCATCGATCGGGCGAAGAGAAATATGCACATGCACCGATCCTGACAACGCCCATCCTTGACCCAGGATCGGTGCATATGCCTTCCTGGCCAAGGTAGGAGGGCATATGCACCGATCCTGGGCTCAGGATGGGTCTGGCCAGAATCGGTGTATGTGCATAGTTCTTTTTCCTCTAATCGACCCCCATAGTCGCCCGCTGAGCGCTGGTGTGGACCCGATGACGAGCGAACAGAACACACCCATACCCACAGGAGGGTCGGGAGGAGGAGGACTGGCTATGGGTATGGGTGCGAGTTGTCGGGCCCTGGGGGAAGCTCCCGTTCGTGCAGGGACCCCCATCCGACAACACGCACCCATAGCCCCCTCCGCCCCCCCTATGGGTATGGGTGCGTGTTGTTCGTTCGTCATGATAGCACACCCCGCCCAGGAGCGCGCGGACTCGCTATTGGGGGCCTATCGCAGATCTGTCGGCGATTCATCGCCGATCCCAGGTCGATGCTTTCCCCTCGAGCCGGTCCCCCGATCGTTCTCCCTCGTTCACGAAAAGACCTTGGCATCGCTCGGACGTGTGCATTTTTCCTTTGACGAGGACCATCGAGGAGCATCCTTGATCATTTGGCGAAAAAACCGCGCACGAAGCCGGGAAAAAAACACAGGGAATGGACGTCCGAGCGAGGGCGAGGGACGACATCAGCACAAGGGGTCCGGGGTGCCGCGCGGACTTCCCGGGTCGGCGCTGCCCCCCACCCCCCCTCCCTGGCGGCGCTTCCCCTGGCGCGCTCTCGGCTTACCAGCCTGGAACGAAGGATTGCAAAAAAAACGAAGGATTGCAAAAAGGATTGCAAACAAAACCCAGGATTGCAATCCTTGATTGCAATCCTTGGTTTTTTTTGCAATCCTTCGGTTTTTTTGCAATCCTTCGGGTTTTTTTGCAATCCTTTGCAATCCATCCCTATCCCTATGCTGGGCATCTCCTCATCGCGATGCCAATCTTAGGGATTCCCTTTTCTTTTGAGGGCGAATCCCTGAGACTGTCATCGCCTTTTGGCGTGTCAAAGTTCGAGGCTAGTAATCTGCACCGGGCGATGAGGGCGTCCAGCGCCGATCCGAGAAGTCCGCGCGGGCCTCCGGCAGCCCGGGCCTGCGTGTGCGGCACCTTTCCTTTCCCAAGGTTTCACGAAGTTTACCAAGGAGGACTACGCGAAGTGGAAGGCGATGGGCAGGCTGCGCCCAAACGGCGTGGACGTGCAGTGGCTGTCGAGCCGGGGCCCGCTCTGGCGCTTGATCGGCCGCGGCTGAGCCTCCAGCTGGGCCTGCGGCGCCTCGGCGCGGCGGCAAGGCGATGGGCAGGCTGCGCCCCCACGGGCCCGGACGATTGTCTGCATCGCCTAACCCGTCCTCCTCCTCCTCCTCCTCCTCCTCCTCCTCCTCCTCCTCCTCCTCCTCCTCCTCCTCCATCTCCTCCCTCCTCCTCCTCCTCCTCTTCCTCCTCCTCCTCCTCCTCCTCCTCCTCCTCCGCCTCCGCTGCCTCCTCCTCCTCCTCCTCCTCCTCCTCCTCCTCCTCCTCCTTGTCCCATCCCCAGTGGGCCTTGATATCTCAGCCCGTCTGCCCACCGTCCTCGGCGGGGACAGGCCCCACGAAACCCACAGGAACAGGCAACGCGCACACGCATGCATGCACGCAGCCGTTTTGGCTCGAGGCTATGAACCGCCCGACGACCGCGAGTCCGTTCTCGGGCGTCTCTGAGCGCGAAGGGGTTCGCGCTTTGAGGCCAAGCCATTGGTGCAAGATTTTCTCTCCAGTGGCTGTACTGGCCGTCGTCCTGCTTCTCGTGGGCACAGGTTCTGAGTCTGTGATAGAGGAGCGCTGGCGCCGCCCGCCGCTGGAGCGAAGAGAGGCAGTCGAGCAACGCGTCGGAATAAATGGCTCTGCAAATCCTGCTTCGGACGTGATCACAAGCCCTACGTCAACTTCGTTGACATACTGTGCTGCAACAGTTGCGGCCTGGCCAAGAGCGTGGTGCACGGGGGCCCCGTCAAAGCCAATTCGCCATCACGGTCCACGGCTGCATGGGCCAGCTGCGACAAAGGCAAGGCAGCAGGCTCGATCTCGAGCCCAAGCGGGAGGCGGTCAAGAAGTCACGCGCAGCCTGTGAAACTGCATCGCCGATCATGATGAGAAGCACGCTACATATCACCACCGTCAATGGCAGCTCGTTCGGCACCCTGTCCAAGTACTTGGTGCAGGAGCGCCGCGCGAGCGCGGTGAAGCTCCCTGAGGTGCAGGGCGATGCCCACGACGCGGGCTGGCCAGGCGCGCGGTGCCTGGCGCTGGCCACCCAGGCCGGCGGCGCAGAGGGCGCGGCGTCACAGTCTTGTCCGCGTCCGACGCTGCAGTCACCAAGGCGCCCCTGCTCGACAGTGGCGTCATCGTGCCTGGTCGAGCCGCGGCGGCGCACGTGCTCGCGGCTCTCCCTGGCGGCTTCGCGGCGATAGCCCTCTACTTACACGCGGGTGAGGGCAGATCGCCGCGCGACCTGGCGATCGCGCGGCAGGTCGTGCAGTGCGTGAATCGCGTGGTTGCGGGCCCTGGCTCGATTTGGATCGTCGGCGGTGATTTCGGCGCGTCGCCGCAGGAGCTGCTGGGGCATGACTGGCTCCACCCGGCGACCGCCATGCGCGTCGCCCCGCGCTAGCCCGCCTGCATGCAGGCCGCCCCCGCCACCACTCTGGACTACTTCCCGGCGCGCGGGCCGATGCTGCGCGGGGCCAGGTGCGCAGCCGATGCCCCTGCCGCAGACGTCACTTGGCCCGGCGGCCAGTCGCCATCACATTGGCCAAGCGCGCCGAGGCGCCACTCGCCCGCGTGCTCGATGAGCCGCGGCCCTTCCCGCGCGAGCTGCCTGCGGGGCGCGCGCGCTTCCCCTGGCAGGGCTGGGGGCAGGTGCGACGTTCCGTCGGCCAGGCAGAGCCCCTCCCGCAACTTGCGGCGGCGTGGGGCCTCGCCCTCAGAGGACTGGAAGAGGGGCTTGCTAGGCGACGCGACAAAGTCGGCAAGCGCTGGCAGCGACGCGCGGGCCGAGAGGGCCCCATCCAGCAGCGGGCGCGGGAGCTCCAGCGGCGACCCCTCAGGCGCCGAGGTCGGCGCGGCCTGGAAGTGGGCGCGCGGGGCGCGGCCGCCAGATGGGCCCAGCACACCCTCAGCGTGCGCGACTACGCGGTCAAGGCAGTCGCCCAGTTCACCGTCGGCAGCGGCGAACCGCGGCCGCAGCAGCGCGGGGGTCAGGCCGGCAGACCACGCCAGTGTGTATGCAGTGCTGAAGAGAGCCCTACCGATGCTGGCACGGTGGTTGGCACGTCGTCTGCGGTGCCCGCGGGCCCTCCTCGCGCCGCGGGCTCTCGGGCCGCTGTCGGCGCGAGGCTGGGGGAACGAGCCGTTGCTGGCGTGGCAGCACGGGCGGGTCTGCAGTCGCTTGGAGGGGCGGCGCGATGGTCAGGGCGGGGGGGGCACCCCGCCCCCGGGCCGGGGGCAGCCGCGCGACCGCTCCAGGGCGAGATGCCAGGCTCGGACGACGGCGACGGACAGTCACCGGGCGGCGCAGTTATTAACCCAGGTGGCCAGAGGGTTTGTTTTTTGATTGGGTCCCCAGGTGGCCAGGGACGCGCATTCCCCTGGACTGGGCGGCGGCGGAGAGCCGCAGGAGCTGGGCGGCCTGGCGGAGGCTTCGACGCTGCTGCGCTGCGTGGAGGCGCGGGCGCTGCAGGTCGAGGATCGGCGATCGAGGCCTCCTGGCCGTTCCTGGCCCCTTCTGCTCCAGATGCCTTGGCCTCCAGCCTCGGGGGGGGGGGCTCCGCAGACCGCCGCGGGGGCCTCTGGAATTCCCCGGGGACTGCCAGATCAGCGCGGCGAGGGCTGCCCCTTGCCGGGCCCATCCTGGGCCCAGCGGCGAAGGCACTTGGCGCGGGGGGAACGAGTCCCAAGGGAAACGGGCCCTGGGCCTTGGCCCCCCCCCTCCGGATTAGTTTTTCATCCTAAATTGCTAATTGTCTGACGCTCCGGGGGCCCGCGGACGGCCCCGAGCGCCGAGGGGCGGCGAAACACCGGAGGGCCCGTTTCCTTCGGAGCCCAATTCGCCAATGGCGAGGCACGCGCTTCGCTCGTAGGCCCAGGATGGGCCGGGCAAGGGGCAGCGGGCATGCGCGGCTCTCGTCGCTCGACAGATGCACCAGGCTCAAGTCGCGATGACATCGGGCGTATCGCACCGCGCGGTGTTCCTCAGCGATCGGCTTTCCGAAAGTGCAGGCCAGTTCGACGTCGGCCGCGCCTCGGGCCACAGGCGGCGCGCAGCCGCCTGGAACGCCCGCGCCGGGCTCTCCGGTGCGTCTGCGTGGCGCGAGCCCACCGCAGGGGGGGCGACCCCCTCCCGCCCGCCCGCTGGACGCTGGACGCCGCGGCCTTCGGTGCCGCGACGGGCGCAGCCCTGCCCCCCGCCCTTCTCCCCGGCGGCCTCGGCCGCTAGGGGGGGGGGGGGGGGCGCGAGACCGCGAGCACGTCGCGACGCGCGCCAGGCACCCCCAGGGCCACCGGCTACCCCCAGAGGGGCGAGGGAGGGAAGGGGGAATGGAGCGACGAAAGGGCAGAGGACCCTCCGCATCCTCCTGTTGTTCCTCCTCCTGACCTGCTCCTGCTGCTGCTCAAGAGGTATCTAGAGTCTAGAGGCCTCCAGGGCCCCCCGTGACCCCCCCCTCCTCCTCCTGGCCCTGGGTCGCAACGGAATTGCGATAACAAGAGTGGGAGACGCATTTCTAAACGCACGGGGTGAAGATGCGCCGATGATAGAAGCCCAGCTTCCAAGGCGCTACACGCGGGAGGAGACGCGGCGAAGTTCTCGTGCCTGAACTTCCACGTTCGCTGCTGAGCACGAGTAATTCATCTGCGGGTAAAGTCGGCCCGCTTCGATTTTGAAAATTGAGAGTTCCAGCGGAATTATCAGCGCCCGTTCCCCTGCGTGCCCGGAGCGTTTGTGGGATCGTGCGCGCAGGGGGTCCAGCGCGCCCTCGGGGGTGCCGAGAAACCGCGGGGCATTCCGGGCTGGGCCGGTGGCTTGGACTTGCGCGGCCCGCCGCGGCGGAAATTGTCATTGTTCTCCTCGCGCTCGCTCTGCGCCGCCGCCCTCTGCCGCCGACGCCGCCCCCGCATCAACCTAACGCGGATCAAATCAGGGGCGCGCGCTATCCGCGTGCGCGGGGACCAACGAGGTGAGGGAGTTGTGCCCGTCTTTCCTTCGCATCACTGTGCTCGCCAGTCGTGTGCGTCCACGCCACTGCTTAAAGGATCCATCATGAGCTTCGAGACCCACAACGTACCAATATCATGCAACCCCACTTTCGCCAGGAGGGGCGATTCGCTGACGAATGACAGAAGAAATTAATTCATGTTACCACTTGGGCCCGGAGGGCTGGCGGGACCACGGGGCCAAGAAAAGCGCGGGGGGATGCGCTGAAATATGGCGGGCCGCCATGCGACCCTGGCCACTGGGGCCCTCAGTGGAGCTCCCTGTGCGGCCGCGAAACCTGTGAGGGATGCGCCGACATGGGGCGGGGCCGCCATGCGAACTTTGCCACAGCGGCCTTCAGTGGATTTCCCTATAGAGCCACGAAGCGCACGTGCGTGGGTGCGCGTGCCGAAATGGGGCGGGGCCGCCGTGCGAACTTTGCAACGGGGGCCTTCGGTGGAGCTCCATATGGGGCCACGAATCGTGTGAGGGGTGTACCGAAATCGGGCGGGCCCCCGTTCGAATTTTGCCACTGGGGCCTTCGGTGGGGCCACGAAACGTATTAGCGGGGTGGCAAAACGGTGACGATGATGATGGTGGTGTAGCGATGATAAAGACGATGGTGATGGTGACGATCATGTTGACGACGGTGACGATGGTAATGGTGATGGCGATGACGGTGGCGATGATGTTGCTGTTGCTGATGGTAATGACTGTTCGGACTCCAGACGAACGCCCAATCCACAGGAGGGTCGGTGAACAAACACGTCGGATGTCTGGGTCCTTCGATGTATCGGCGACGTCGGAATGGAGACCATCTTGCGCCGTTTCGTTCCGCATCGCCGGTGAATTGGCGGTGCGGCGCGATCCCCAGACCCCGTCAGCTCTGACCCCTTCCCCCTTACGGGCGGTCTGGAGTCCCGACCCGCGCTCGCGCCGTTGCCGCCCTGTCGCCGCCGCCGCCGTCGCCGTCGCTGTCGTCCGCCCATGTCCCCCCTCCTTGCCAGCCCCCCTCTCACCCTCTCCGCTCTCGTCCTCGCCGCCCTTGCCGCCCGGAGGTGTGCGCTCGTTGCGGCCGCCCTTGTGGCTTCCGTCGGTGCCCCCGCCCCCCCGCCCCCCCTTTTGCAGCCGGCCCGCCGCCGCCGCGTGCCGGCCGGCCCTCGGCGCCGCCCCGCCGTGGCCGCCCGCCGTCGCCGCCCGCCGGCGGCGGCGGGCGGCGCACGTCGGACGCCGGGGTACACTTCGACCCCGCCGGTCCGATACGTTGCCAGTCGGTCGGCCGCGGTGTTCTACCGGTCCGCGGCTCGGTGCCCGCTCGGCGCTGCCGCTCCGGGTCCAGCTCCGACGCCGTGCCGTGTGCGACCCGATCCGATCCGATGCACGTCGGGCGGGTGTTAGCTGGGACGACCTGGTATGGGGATGAAGCAGGGGCCCTAAAGGGCTCCTTGGGGGTCCTTTTCTTCAACCCCCATCTGGGTAACCCCCATAACCATCCGCCCGATCCGACGCGGTCTCGTCTCCCAGACCCCCTCGGGTCTCGCCAGGCCCCGGGATCGTCAAGAAAAACTCCAGATAGAAGGCTGGTCCTGACTGAGAAAGGGGACGAGACTTGTGGGGTCGACGCCGTGGAAAAGTCACGACGTCGGGGATCCAGTATCAATCGCGCGGCTGCTTTTGCGGACGGCGGACGGCGGACGGCGACGGGCGGAGAGCGGCGGCGGCGCGGGGCAGGGCGCGGCCCTCTCGCGGCTCTGAGATCCGACGTTGCGAAAGATTGCAAATTGCGACGCCGTGGAAAGTCACGACCACAGTCGCGGGCCTCGGGGTTGACACCAACACCCATATCGGCGGTGTGCCTCCACCGAGGGAAGAAGATCCCGAAAAATTGCAAATTGCGACACCGTGGAAAATCACGACCACAGTCGCAGGCCTCGGGGTTGACACCAACACCCATATCGGCGGTGTGCCTCCACCGAGGGAAGAAGATCCCGATCTCGGCGATGGTGGTAATGTTCCGGCTTTCAAGGTGACCGAAATTTTACCACCAGGACCGAAATCTAGGATCACCTTCCCCCCTGAAGGCAACCCCCTAAGTTGGTGTTGGTGCCCATTTCCAGGCCTCCAGCAGACCTTCGACGCCATCTTTCTGCAGTCTTTTTCGAGCCAGATCCATCTGCGATAGTCCTAGGGCACGAATCCGGGCGAAAACGATGAGTGCGAAATTGCCTGACACGTACCCACCCCCTTCTCCACGCGAGGCGACTATTTTGCACGAGTGCTTAATACAAGAGAACACATTGCGGGGACAATCTACTCCGCTGGACTTCCCAGGAGCCCAGGAAGGTGGCGACTGTTGCGTAGTTGGTAGCCTCCCAGGGAGCCGCGAGGTCTCGCCTGCCCACCGCGTCCGCTGGACCTGCCACGAGCCCACGGCAGTTGCGCTGTTCACAGCCCCCCAGTAGGAAAGGCACGAGCAAGGGAGGCAGGGCAGCGGAGGAGGCAGGAGGCAGGAGGAGGCGGAAGGAGAAGGCAAGGATGACCCAACACACGGGATGGCTGGACAAACAGCAACGCCCAGACCTCAGGAACGAACCCAGCACACGGGATGGTTGGACAAACAGCAACGCCCAGACCTCAGGAGAGCCGTGCGTCATCTCCCAGGCCACGGCCACGGCCACGGCCACGGCCGGCCCAGGAGGAGGAGGAGGAGCAGGAGGAGGGGAGCAGGAGGAGGAGGAGGAGGAGGAGGAGGAGGAGGAGGAGGAGGAGGAGGAGGAGGGGAAAGGAGGAGGAAGAGGAGGAGGAAGAGGAGGAGGAAGAGGAGGAGGAGGAGGGAAGCAGGAGGAGGAGGGCCAAATTAGCCTGACGCTGGGCGAGTCTCGGGCCCGCGGTGCCTCCGAGGGGCGGGGCGCCTTCTCGGGGGGGGGGGGGCACTGCGGACCCCTCTGATGCACTGCCGCCGAGCGCCCGCGGTGCGGCGGAGCGACGACGACGAGGACGACGACGACGACGACGACGACGACGACGACGACGACGACGACGACGACGACGACGACGACGACGACGAGGACGACGACGACGACGACGACGCCGGCGGCGGCGGCGGCGGCGGCGCGGCGGCGGCGGCGGCGGCGACGGCGACGGCGACGGCGAGGAGGGCAGAGGGCGGCGAGCGGCGAGCGAGTCCCCCGAACCCGACTCCCATGTCTCCCCGATTCTCGGAAGGGCCCAGGTGGGCCTCTTGCGGGAAGGCCTCTCGGAAGCCCGGGGTGGGCTCCCCGACAGCGATCGTGCCCCCCACCCCCCCCTTGCCTTCTTCTTAAGGAAGAGCCCCCCGCCCACACGGGAGGCCGCCCCCCGTGCCCCGCCCCTCTCTCCTCCTCCCTCCTGATCCCTCCCCCTCCTGGCCCCCCTCCTCCTCCTCCTCCTCCTCCTCCTTCCTCCTCCTCCTCCTCCGCCTCCTCCGCCTCCTCCGCTTCCTCCCCCCCTTCCTCCCCCTCCTCCTCCTCCTCCTCCTCCTCCCTCCTTCTCCGCCTCCTCCTTCCTCCTGATCCCTCCCCCTCCTCCTCCTCCTCCTCCTCCTCCTCCTCCTCCTCCTCCTCCTCCTCCTCCTCCTCCTCCTCCCCCTCCCTCCCGGTCGGGGTTCTTTCCTGATCGTCCAGTATGGCCTGAACGCCGTCGACCAGGTTTGGAAATGGGCGGGGGCGTTTGGGGGTTGGTGGGCGAGGATGTCCTTAATATGCTCGAAGACTTTTATGAGGGGCCAAATCTTCCACCGGGAGTGCGGGGGATCGCGGTAGAGCAGATAGCGTGGGTGCAAGTGGAACAAGTTGGGAAGGATCTCATCGGCCGTGTACCCCCTCGAGCGGGTGACACTCACAAACATGCACACACAACGCACACGCACACGCACACGCACACGCACACGCACACACACACACACACACACACACACACACACACACACACACACACACACACACACACACACACACACACACACACACACACACACACACACACACACACACACACACACACACACACACACACACACACACACACACACACACCACACACACACACACACACACACACACACACACACACACACACACACGCACGCGCACGCACGCACGCACGCACGCACGCACGCACGCACGCACGCACGCACGCGCGCGCGCGCGCGCACACCTGCACAGACAAACGTACGCACATACTTTTCACATGTGCAGACTGGGTTCCTGAAGAGGGGACCGCCGTGCTCCCGCTCTGTGGGTTAAAACTGGCGGTCCCACCTGCGCGCCTTGGCCGTGTTGGAGACCAAGTGATTTGGCAAAAAGGCCGACTGGAAAGCCTTGCGGTAGCCTAGGCGCGCTACTTGGAGCTTCAGAGGAGGCTCTGAATTAAGGGGGGGCCAAAAGCGAGGCACGGCGGGCCCCGATTCCCCTGGAGGCTTACTGGCGGCTCCGTATAGCTCAAGACGACTCCGTCGAGTCGGGCTTTTCCGTTGGAGTCGTTCTTCTTTTCCATCTGCCTGGGCCCTCTTCCTCATACGCGCAGTCCTGAGCAAAATTGAACACCATCGGAGTGAAATCGAAGGTAAACCCCGTCCCCGCGCCGGGGGCGGGGGGTCCTGGCCCCAGACGGCTCCATGGCTCCAAGAAGCCCTGAAGACGCACCAAGAAGGCTCCAAGAGGACCCCCACGAGGGCCCTCCGAAGCAGCGTTGGATTGATATCCCTTTGGGTGTCGACCGCTTGTCGCGTCCTCGCGATTTTCTAACTCACGGCCAAAAGTGCCACCAAGAACGCTCCAAGAGGCCTGCGAAAGTGCTCCAAGAGGGCCCGCAGAGGCCT